GGAATTATAGCTGGTCACCAGACTTCAGAGATCAGTTCCCCTGGAGAAAACCGAGGCTTTGGAGGGTTAGGGATGCCAGCCTCCTGGTGGGACCTGGGGATCCCCCGGAATTATAGCTCATCTCCAGACTAGAGTGAAACAGGTTTCAGAGAGTAGCTGTGTTGGTCTGCAGTAGAATGGCTAGACTGAAGTCTCAGGCTGGCTGTGATTCCTCAGCAGCGATAGAATCCCTTCGTGTATGCTCAGAGGCACTCTTTCTCTTCACCTCCCCCACTCCCAGGATGCCAGCGTCCAGGTGGGACCTGGGGATCCCCCAGAATTATAGCTCATCTCTGGACTACAGAGATCAGTTCCCCTGGAGAAAACTGAGGCTTTGGAGGGTTGGGGATGCCAGCCTCCAGGTGGGACCTGGGGATCCCCCGGAATTATAGCTCGTCACCAGACTACAGTTCCCCTGGAGAAAACTGAGGCTTTGGAGGGTGGACTGTATGGCATTGTACCCTCTCCTTCCCAGGCTCCATCCCCAAATGTCCTGGAGTTTCCTAACCTGGATCTGGCAACCCTCCCCTCCCCATCCCCTGCTTGTGGGTGGGGGGGGGGACTGGCAACCCTTCCCACTCCGCCCTTGTTGGTCTCTCAGGTGCTGCTGGACTTCAGTCTAGCCGTTCTACTGCAGACCAACACAGCTACTCTCTGAAACCCGTTTCGCTGTGGCAAAATTGAACTGTTTAATTTGGTGAGACCCACTCTGAGTACCGCTTGGTAACGAGTTGGCAAATGAATAGTGTACATTGATGCCTTGAGCAATAAACAAGATGAAATCTAGATTCTCAGCCTGCAGGGAACTCTTCCTTATCCTAATATAATCCCACCTTCATCTCTAAAGATTACTTTGAACAGAGAACAGAGAGGGGATAGAGAACAATATTGTGGCCAGTACTACGATTTATCCCTTACGGATCACAGAAAATATAGCCACCTGCCATTTTCCTGTTGCTACTTTTCTACTACATCCCAAATCCAGAAGCAGTTAAAAAAAAAAAGCAAGTAAAAGGTAACGGTTCCCTTGCTCGAAAGCCAGTCGAATCCGACTCTAAGGTTGCGGTGCTCATCTCCGTTTCAAAGCCAAAGAGCCAGCGCTGTCCGAAGACGTTTCCGTGGTCACGTGGCCGGCATGACTAAACACCAAGGCGCGCGGAACGCTGTTACCTTCCCACGGAAGTGGTACCTATTTATCCACTTGCAATTTCTTGCTTTCGAACTGCTAGGTTGTATATTGCAGCTCAATTTATTTCCTAGCTTTAAAAAGTGATGCTTAATAAAATAGGGTAACTCTGGTTTCTTTCTTACCACCACAAAAATGTACCGCTAAACCTCTCTTAATTGATAGTACCCAGTGTTTAAAATATAAGACTAATTCATGTTTGTGTTAAGTGATCGTCAGCGTTTTGCTTTGTATAATTTGTTTCATGTTCATTCTGCCAGACAAAGCCATGGTAATATGAAAGCTTGCATATACTTACTCTAAGGTATAATAGATTCAGCGTTTCCGGCTTTGATTTTATTATTTGTCTTAAATAAAGGTAAGCACTGTGGTGGCTCAGAGGTTAAGACGCTGAGCTGCAGACCAGAAGGTCTGTAGTTCGGCACTTCAAGACCCGAGTGCCGCTTGAGGGAGTGAGCTCCCATCTCTGGCCCCAGCTCCTGCCAACCTAGCGGTTCAAAAGCAAGAAATTGCAAGTAGATAAATAGGTACCGCTTCAGTGGGAAGGTAACAGCGTTCTGTGCACCTTGGTGTTTAGTCATGCCGGCCACATGACCACAGAAACATCTTCGGACAGCGCTGGGTCTTCGGCTTGGAAATGGAGATGAGCACTGCCCCCTAGAGTTGGATTCGACTAGCTTTCGAGCAAGGGTGTACTACAGTAGCTTATATCTGCTGTTGCCCAGTATGAAAGGCTATGGCTTCTAAAGAATTCCGAGAATTTCCATTTGGTGAGATGGCTGAGAATTATGTTAAAAACCAAAAGGAATCTTTTGGCATGCTGAATGCTAACAGATATATTATGACAGAATCTTTCAGGAAAGCTTTTGTCAGAAATGTAACATTCGTCCTCAGTCGGCAAAGATATATATGTATATACACATACTCATTGGCAATCGAAAATTGTAAGCACTAGGGTGAAAAGAAAATGGAAAGCAGGAAATATACACTAGGACAAGTCTGTGACTGATTAGGACACAGGTTTCTTGGACAGCCAGTGCGGTGTGGGGTAGACTGTCAAACTAGGATTTGGGAGACCCAGGTTCAAATCCCCACTCTGCCATAAAAGCTCATGGGTCAGTCACACGCTCTCAGCCTAACCTACCTCATAGAATTGCTGTGAGAATAAAATGAAGAAGGGAAGGATGTTACATGCCTCTGCTTGGTACACTAACGAAGTCTACTGTCTGGGTTTTATCTGCTTTTGCTTTTCTGACCTTGGATGTGCCAGCTGCTACTGATTCGCTGGGAACAAACGGTTTCTCCTTTGCCCAGTCTTTTCCCCCGCGCACGGACTGTGCTTATTGGCCTTTGCTTGTAGGGGTGTGTGTGTGTTTTGAACCTAGTTTAATTCAGGGTGCCCTGATGCTTCGGGCCATTCCTGACACAAGAAGTCATAGTTATGAACTACCAATAAACAGAATTCTTCTTATGAAGCGCTGTGTGGTGTGATCTGACTATCGAACCCTGACACCCTCATCTCCCGCCCCCTGTGTCATTCCCCAATCATAAATGCCCACTGCTTTAAGCAGAGGAAAGAAGACAGGTACACCTACACAGTGCCTGTCTTTTTCCTTCTTGAGGTTTGAAGCTGAAAGACAGATTCACTGGTACGGTAAACCAGTAATCTCTGGTCTATTGTAGCAGAGTGCACTTAAGGCTATATGCAGCAGAGCGTCTTTGTTCTACATGCGCTGGCAAAGTTACAGAGTTACACAGAGCCACTTGTCAGTTTCAAACTAATAAAGAGTTCTTTATTTAGGGAGCTCCATTCTAGATAGTAAAGGTGAGAGATAGGGAAAGGATCTAATCTGATTAGCTAGGATGGATGCAGATGCAGCGATGCATGTCTAATATCCATGGTGCCAAAGATGGAGACCAGCGTGCCTCCTTCTTTGTGTGTACACATGAGAGAGGTATGAATGGAAGGAAGAAGGCAATTCCCTGAGAGTATCAGTCTACACATCAAAGTGGCAGAAGCAGAAGAGTAAACAGGAAGGAAACCCACAGTTTGCCTGTGTATCCAACTGACTCAGTTGTAGCCCCACTCTGGAGGCTGAGGCTAAGAGACAGGGTCTGGCGCTTCCCTTCCAACAGAAGCAACTGTGCAGAGAGAGGTGGGGTTGTTGATCAAGGAAACAGTATTAGGAGAAGAGCTAACTCCTTGCCCTTGTTCACTTCACTCCCTTCCCCGTGGCTACTTTTTGTACCTAAATTACTCATGGGGAGGATGTGATCAACAGTTTCCCAACATCGCACATAGTCTGACCCTGAGTGCTACCTCTGTTAATGATATTACAAGGTTAGAGTAGGCCGGAAAATCAGGACAATCCATCACAAAATTTTGAATCTCCTGTGTGACCGCTTGTTAAATTGTACCATGCGAGTACAGCCACACGGTCAACTGATCCTCTCTCATAGCCTGCCATGTAGGGATAGGGTTGCCAGCCTCCAGGTGGTGGCTGGAGATCTCCTAGGATTACAGCCCATCTCCTGGTGATCAAAATCAGTTCCCATCAATCTAGGGTTGCCAGGTCTGGGTTGGAAAATGCCTGGAGACTTTGGGGGTGGATCCAGGAGAGGGCGGGGTTTGGGGAGGGGAGGGGCCTCAGCATGGTACAGTGCCATAGAGTCCACCCTTCAAAGCAGCCATTTTCTCCAGGGGAGCTGATCTCAGTCAGCGGGAGGTCAGTTGTAAAAGCAGGAGATCCCCAGGCCCCACCTGGCGGCTGGCAACCCCTTGTCAATCACAGATTTGGTATTTAGTATTTCTCACAGTTTCCGTGGTCTTACAACCTGTTTTGATCTTTACAATTCTCACTGGGAGCACTACTGAATCCGCTGTTTGGTTTTTATGTTTCAGCATATCTGTTGTAAAATGTTCGCTCGTTTTATGCACACTGCATCTCTCTCTTCAGAAACATGCTTGCATTTCGTTCTCTGTGTTGCACGAATTGTAATTTCAATGTTATCTCAATAAAAAAAGAAATTCGGTTCCCATGGAGAAAATGGCCGCTTTGGAAGGTGGACTCTATGGCATTAGATCTAGGGCTGCCAAATCGGGCCGGGGGGCGGGGAAACCCCCGCTTTGGAGGCCCGATTTCCGCCGCGGTGGAATCGGGCCCCAGGGGAAACCCCACCCCCGCGTGCACGTCACAGGGAAGTGATGTTATGACGCCGGGCACGCTGGGGGCGGGGCCACAGCCATTTGAGGGGAAAACATAGAGTTTTCCCCTCAAATG